TAAACCCACTTCTCATAGCATTCGGCGTCGCCTTAAATGTCTGGGTTCTGGCCATCGCGCCGTTTGGATTGCCTCTCATTCCTGTCAACCAATGCATTACTGTTAAGACAATTGTCGACTCATTGGTCCAAACGAGTGATACCTTTGCGACGAACGATGTTTTGCTGATTGTTTGCGTTTGTGTTGGGGTTTCTTCGGCGTTGCGGTCGACCAGAGGTTGCCTTCAAATTGAGGCTAAGATTCGTGCGATTTATGGGTTTTCTTCTTCGGTTCGTTTGCATCTGATTTCGATTGAGTTGTGGACTAATCGTCGGATTATTGAACCGTTTGAAACCAAGTCTTTGTTTAATGGATCTCTGGTTTTGAATGTTTGGTGTGTTTTGTGTCCTCTGGTTGTTATTAGGCCGAAGAGCGGCCAAAACCGATGGTCTGTTCGCCATCTGGAGAGCGAGTCTGCGGTTCTTTTGTGAGCCCTGTCTGAGGGACTGTCTGTTGGATTGGCTCACTGTGTGTGCCATCACTCGGTTGTTGTGGTTCTGTTGCCTCAACTGTTGGAACCTCTCATTCAAAGACATCTTTGTGGTCGACTTCAGTGCTCTCTTCACCAGATCTACTGTTGCCATCAATTGGGCGATAATTCTATCAAACGGTACACTCTTTTCAAACCATTTATAAAACAAACGTTTCATTGAATGCGTTGAATGGCATTCAATGTCTTAAGAGGTCTTAAGAGGCAAAGACTGGCAACTGATCCCATATTTGAACCCACTTTCAATCATTCATCACATCATGTCTGCCAATCATTTCTAATGACTTCATGTCCTGTGAGATAGTGAGACACATATGTTAGACATGCCAACACTTACCACAATCAACAGTTCACTGCCTCGACAGTTGTGGTGATAACGGATCAGATGACGACTGGACACCAATCAAGTGCTCAACCATTTATCAAATGAAAGCCAAAACGTTTTGAAACGCAAATGAAGTGTTTGTTTGAAACGCCCTCTCATTGGTTGTCTGCTGCGAGCCATACATTACGGCAACCAATCACTGCTTTGGCGCTGAACTCGATATGAGAGTTGAATTGCATTTTGAGTGCAATTGAGAGACAATTTGTTTGTCCAGTATTTACAGTACTGTTTTGTCTGCTGCGAGCCATACATTACGGCAACCAATCACTGCTTTGGCGCTGAACTCGATATGAGAGTTGAATTGCATTTTGAGTGCAATTGAGAGACAATTTGTTTGTCCAGTATTTACAGTACTGTCTAGATTATCTATCACATTTACATCTATTAATATCATAGTAATGTCATCTAGATTAGCCTAACACATAACCTATCAATTATAAACTTGCTCATTTTATATTCTCAATATTTTTATTTTCCGATTACTTTTAGTGAACAATTAAATTATTGCATAACACAGTAGACTAGGACATTATGTAATTATTGGATATTAATATTATCATTTATCACAGATAAGTCATTATTCACGACTTTTACCATAAGCCATAACACATCCACATAAATATCTGTCTAATATATCATATCCATTACTATCATGAAATTGAATGGCCGTAAATGAATGCAAATGCCAAGATATACTGGTTAATCCATTTCCAATATAACATTGAATCCAATTTAATATTAAATTAAAGTATCAAATAATCATAGAATTGACAGCAATTTTATAATTTATTAAAAAACAAATTTATTAAAAT